ATGTGCTGACTTCAAGTGATGTCTTCATGTGCTGACTTCAAGTGATGTCTTCATGTGCTGACTTCAAGTGATGTCTTCATGTGCTGACTTCAAGTGATGTCTTCATGTGCTGACTTCGAGTGATGTCTTCATGTGCTGACTTCAAGTGATGTCTTCATGTGCTGACTTCAAGTGATGTCTTCATGTGCTGACTTCAAGTGATGTCTTCATGTGCTGACTTCAAGTGATGTCTTCATGTGCTGACTTCAAGTGATGTCTTCATGTGCTGACTTCGAGTGATGTCTTCATGTGCTGACTTCAAGTGATGTCTTCATGTGCTGACTTCAAGTGATGTCTTCATGTGCTGACTTCAAGTGATGTCTTCATGTGCTGACTTCAAGTGATGTCTTCATGTGCTGACTTCGAGTGATGTCTTCATGTGCTGACTTCAAGTGATGTCTTCATGTGCTGACTTCAAGTGATGTCTTCATGTGCTGACTTCAAGTGATGTCTTCATGTGCTGACTTCAAGTGATGTCTTCATGTGCTGACTTCGAGTGATGTCTTCATGTGCTGACTTCAAGTGATGTCTTCATGTGCTGACTTCAAGTGATGTCTTCATGTGCTGACTTCAAGTGATGTCTTCATGTGCTGACTTCAAGTGATGTCTTCATGTGCTGACTTCAAGTGATGTCTTCATGTGCTGACTTCAAGTGATGTCTTCATGTGCTCAATTGATTTACCACTCAATTTGTTTTGTGGCGTCATTTTTTTTGTTTTACAAATGTTGGTTAATGTTTAATTTGTTGTTTCCTGATTGTAAAAAGTATCTAACATTATGCACACATTTCGCACACTCTGTGAAGATTCTGCGGAATTAGGGTGTATCAATTGTGTGACCAGCTTTTGTGACCAGCACTTTCTTTGCATCAGACACAACTTTAAGTACCTAATGGATCTATAGGATGAAATCATTCTATCAAAACGTTCGTGTAGATGTCATTAAACTGTGTCTACAACTTTTGTGTTAATGTCATTAAACCGTATATACAACTGTTGTGTATATGTCATTGAACTGTGTATACAGCTTTTGTGTATAAATCATTGAACTGTGTATACAGCTGTTGTGTATACATCATTGAACTGTGTACACAACTGTTGTGTATATGTCATTGAAATGTGTACACATAAGACTAGAGAGATGATTGTAAAATAGGCCTATGTCTATACGGGGGGGGGGGGNACAGACAGACTTGATGTACTCACAGACAGACTTGATGTACTCACAGACAGACTTGATGTACTCACAGACAGACTTGATGTACTCACAGACAGACTTGATGTACTCACAGACAGACTTGATGTACTCACAGACAGACTTGATGTACTCACAGACAGACTTGATGTACTCACAGACAGACTTGATGTACTCACAGACAGACTTGATGTACTCACAGACAGACTTGATGTACTCACAGACAGACTTGATGTACTCACAGACAGACTTGATGTACTCACAGACAGACTTGATGTACTCACAGACAGACTTGATGTACTCACAGACAGACTTGATGTACTCACAGACAGACTTGATGTACTCACAGACAGACTTGATGTACTCACAGACAGACTTGATGTACTCACAGACAGACTTGATGTACTCACAGACAGACTTGATGTACTCACAGACAGACTTGATGTACTCACAGACAGACTTGATGTACTCACAGACAGACTTGATGTACTCACAGACAGACTTGATGTACTCACAGACAGACTTGATGTACTCACAGACAGACTTGATGTACTCACAGACAGACTTGATGTACTCACAGACAGACTTGATGTACTCACAGACAGACTTGATGTACTCACAGACAGACTTGATGTACTCACAGACAGACTTGATGTACTCACAGACAGACTTGATGTACTCAGGGGCGTAGGTGAATTTTTCTGGCGGGGGGAGGGGGGGTCCAAGCTTAGCCATCCTTTGAGCACTTTATACTACTGTGCTTTACGGTTATACAAAAAATTCAAATTTGGATTTGATGCCAGCAGGGGGGGGGGGTTCCAGTGCCCCCCTCCCCCCACGCCAGCAACGACCTTGGCCCTGCTGCTATAAATATTAGTAGAAGATTAGTTGCTGTGTAAGCTGTTAATATGCAAGCGAGGCCACTTAGAAAAAAAAAATTAATAATTTCAGGGGATCGGTCATAAAAGAAAACTTGTGGGGATCGTTAATTAATTGTTTGTGTTTAATTTAAGTACAGCAGCCATATTTGTTATCAGAGCTAATTGATTCCTTCATTCAAGAGATGAAATGAAACACATTTTATAATACAACTTCAGCATAATTCATTTAATAACAGTAACAGATCCAATCAATGGATTCATTAATCTTGTGACATCAAAATGATTAACTTTGTCATGGACATTAATTAATATACTCATTTGCCTTGGCATTGGTTAGAATAATTAGAATAAAATAAAAGGACCCTGTTCTGTTGTTATATTAGTATTAGTAAATTGTTAAATTAAAATGAGTAACTTATCTTGTGACATTAAATTTACTATGTCTTGTGACATTAAAATGACTAACTTGTCTTGTGACATTAAAATGACTAACTTGTCTTGTGACATTAAAATGCCTCCCCTTATCTTGCGGTTGCAGCTCACCTGGAGTATGTGAGTTCTGAGCACGACTTCCTGGAGTGGACAAGGACCATTCAGTACCTGAAGGAGAACTTTGTGGTCAGGGAGGTCAGTGTCACTAGACGACTTGTCATCCACCCCCTGGTCGTCTACTACTGTATGACGTCTGTCAGTGAGGGGAGTTTGGTGCTAAGGGGACAGTGGTATGACCAGTCCTGCAACAAGTGAGTGCTTTACTTAGAAATGGATGGTATCTCAGCCATGAGTTTGGTCATTTCTCTCTTTTTCAGTTGGTCTCCATGTCAGTTGGTCCATTCCATTTGGTTATTTCTTTCTTTCCATTTGTTATTTTGATCTGTCCTTAGGTCATTTCTCTGTAATAACAAATTTCTTTATTTCTGTGCTTTGGTCATTTCTTTCTGTGGGTTGGTCACTTCTCTGGGGACATGATCGCATGCCGCCATGGCATGACACCACCTCATGGAAACCTTCTTGTTCCCAGGTACACCAACTTCCTGTGCCGCCTCCTGATGAACACAGAGGCCAGCATGAGGCAGCAGGGCAGGAAAGGCCTGGTCTACAGCGGCTTGATCTTGGAATGGCCCAACGTCAAATATATGATAGAGAGGGCCCTGCACTGTGACATAAACACGTATGGAGCATTCGTACAGGTGAGGGCATACTTTACAGACTCTGCTGTGCTCTAGGGATGAATAGTTGTCTTTAATAATAGGTTAACTTAATGATTAGTTGTCTTTTATAATAGGTTAACTTAATGATTAGTTGTCTTTTATAATAGGTTAACTTAATGATTAGTTGTATTTAATGATAGGTTAACATAATTATTAGTTAATGTGATCACTTAATCTTGGTATTGACAGATAGCTGGTGAGGACATGGGATTTGTGCTCTTGGTTAAAACTCTGGCTTGAGGTCACAATAACTCTGGCTTGAGGTCACAATAACTCTGGCATGAGGTCACAATAACTCTGGCATGAGGTCAAAATAACTCGGGCTTGAGGTCACAATAACTCTGGCTTGAGGTCACAATAACTCTGGCTTGAGGTCACAATAACTCTGACTTGAGGTCACAATAACTCTGGCTTGAGGTCATAATAACTGTGGCTTGAGGTCACAATAACTCTGGCTTGAGGTCACAATAACTCTGGCTGGAGGTCACAATAACTCTGGCTTGAGGTCACAATAACTCTGGCTGGAGGTCACAAAAACTCTGGCTTGAGTTCACAATAATCTCCTAAAACAATTTGTCAATAATAAAATAGTTTGTTGTTTTTTAAAATCTTAATTTTCCATTTTGGACATCATAACCGTAATTGTTTATAAATATTTTGAAAGTCATCATAACTAGGTTATTCATCATAACTAGGTCATTCATCATAACTAGGTTAGTCGCCATAACTAGGCTAGTCACCATAACTAGGTAAGTCACCATAACTAGGTCAGTCGCCATTACTAGGTTAGTTGCCATTACTAGATCAGTCACCATTACTAGGTTAGTCCCCATAACTAGGTTAGTTGCCATAACTAAGTTAGTCACCATAACTAAGTTAGTCACCATAACTAGGTCAGTCACCATTACTAGGTCAGTCGCCATAACTAGGTCAGTCGACATTACTAGGTTAGTCACCATAACTAAGTTAGTCATCATAACTAGGTTAGTCCCCATAAATAGGTCAGTCACAATAACTAGGTTAGTCACCATAACTAAGCTAGTCACCATAACTAAGTTAGTCCCCATAACTAGGTTAGTCATCATAACTAAATCAGTCACCATAACTAAGTCAGTCACCATAACTAAGTCAGTCACCATAACTAGGCTAGTCACCATAACTAAGTTAGTCCCCATAACTAGGTTAGTCATCATAACTAAATCAGTCACCATAACTAAGTCAGTCACCATAACTATGTCAGTCACCATAAGTAGGTTAGTCACCATAACTAAGTTAGTCATCATAACTAAATCAGTCACCATAACTAAGTCAGTCACCATAACTAAGTTAGTCACCATAACTAAGTTAGTCCCCATAACTAGGTTAGTCATCATAACTAAATCAGTCACCATAACTAAGTCAGTCACCATAACTAAGTTAGTCACCATAACTAGGTTAGGCACCATAACTATGTCAGTCGCCATTACTAGGTCAGTCATTATAACTTAAGTCATACATTATAACTAAGTCATTCACCATAACTAGGCCAGTCACCATAAGTAGGTTAGTCATCATAACTAAGTCAGTCGCCATGACTAAGTCAATCACCATGACTAAGTCAATCACCATAACTTAGTCAGTCAACATAAGTACCTGCTAAGTCAGTCAACTTAACTGATGGTGATTTTTTTCCCTCCAGGTCGCTGTGTCTGCAAATGGTCTGATCATGAAATGTTTTACAAAGGAGGCCAAAGATTTTTACCAGGGCCTCTATGACAGTGCCAGAGAGTATGGGACCTCGAGAGAGGTGGCAGTGCTCCAGGCATTCTTAGGCAATGCCATAGGGGCCAGCTCAGGTATTTCAAAAGGAAAGTATGGTTCAATATCTCTGGCATGTCCTGTCTGCTTCTACCGTGCTTTACCCCCCCCACATCTTGTCACTGCTAAAGTAAGCTATTACTGACTTATGGACATTTAAAAATATATCCAAGCTCTCTATTTATGGGTATATCTTTTGCCTCTAGAATCAAATTAAGGCTAGAAAATTGTAGATCAAATCTTAGTCATTTTTCTTACAAAGATGCATGCATATAAAAATTATTAACTTATTTTGCATAAATTAAAATAATTATCATGACCCCCCAAAAAACCATTGAGATTATAATGAATGAAAATAAAATCCATTTTAAAGCTAAAGCTCTGAAAAGGGTGAAATAGGAACATAATAAGCGTATGATCATTATGTTCAGTGTGAAAATTTATTGAGTCATGAATATGTACATTAAAATTTTATCTACTCTAATAAAAAATAATTTAAGTTTAAGCTACAAAAAAGATTTATACATTATATTTATTTACAGCTGAGTTTCTTTAAAAAAAAATTTTAAACATCCATAGCACACATGAAATTTTATTCTTTGACCATTTCAAAGTACAATTTAAGAATCTACCAAATCAATAGTCATACATATTTTTTGTCTACACTAGAATTAGAAGCACTATGAATTATGTGCTCAAAACTGAGTATCCATGGCATAAATTAGAGATTTTTTATTAAACTTATTTATCCAACTTGGAAAATATTAATAAAATTAATTTAAATTAAATTTTTAACTGAGATTTAAAAACATAGTTATAATTTTGAGAGCTGGATTTTGCTGCTTTCAGTGTAAGACTAAGTGCTTGGGTGGTCATTGGCCAATACCATATCTAGTTGGTATATCTGGCACTGTTATGCCTGAGTCACAGCTCTGCAAGGGGAGGTCACTATAAAGCTCGGAAATGTTGTTCCCATGGCAGCCATGATGGTTAACACTCTATGCCATTGTCACCTCAAAAGTTTTCTTTCTCATCACAGTGAATCTTTTCTCTCCCTGACTCCACCCCATCCAGATTTCCTCTTCCCTCCCTGTTTCATTTGTATTGCTAAACATTTTACTTCTTAATGTCATAGACTTCATCTATTTAATATCTATACTCCATGCTATTAGATTAGTTGGAACTGAAACAAAATGAAAATAATATTTTCCAGCAGAAATTTTAAAAAAAATTAATGCAATGTGAGTTTATAACCCAATCTCAAAATAATTTTTAACCTAAGATGTTTAAGTCTGCTTTCATCACTTTCTTTACATGTCTCCTTTAGAATTTAGATCTTTAAATAAAACATGAAGGGCCTAGGCCTACTCATTAACAAAATATTATAGATTTTTCATTTAAAAAATTATAAACTATATTGTTATCTAAGTGTAACCCTGACTGTAAATATTATAGCCCAATCTTCCACATTCACATTTTGCAAATTTGCTTTTCAGGATTTAAAATTGATAGCTTCAATTAGTCTTATATCGCTAGATAGATCATAGCTTCAGCTTCAGTCAAATTAAATGTAAAATTACTTTTATTTTATTTATACTTGTGATCTGTTTGTCTCAGCTGAAAATTCCAAGACTTGAAAATGCTTTCATCACATTATTTGAAAACCTTTTCCTGTGTGGCAAAGTAAAGTAAAGTTTTGAATTAAAATTAATTTTTTTGAATGGAAAAACTTTGGTAATTAAAGTGTAACAAAAATTACATTTGCAAGTCATATTTTATTTTTAAAAAATTTTTTTTTTACTTTTAATTCTGAAAATGTTATATTGAATATGATTGACTTTTAAGATTTTATTTTATGATCGTAACTTTATGGGTACCGTATTTAAATTTAACCATGTGTTTTGACAAAGTTCTTGTAGGTAATGAAGTAGACGAAACATTGAAATCAAGTAAATTGAGGGGGGTAAAACTGTCTGCATTCAAGTAAAAGAATAAGTATAAAAAAAGAATCCCGTTATATTTAGTATCAAACACTACTCAGAGCATATTGTGCTGTCACTCTCGAAGCATTCAAATAAAAACGCATTGCTATTAAAGAAATGTATATTTTTAGCTTGATAAAGGTTAACTTTCTCCATTGATGAAATTAAAGTTCTAACACTTATGAAGTTGTTGTTTTTTTTAGATATGTCATGAATTATTATTTATTGATTAATGATATGAATGACTTAGGTAATTTTTTTAAGAAAACGATCAGATCTGAAAGGAAGAACATTACTTTTTATCCATGAACTGTTTATGTATAATTGCACACCAAAAAAAAGATCAGGTTCAGAGACCATAACAAAATACATTTTAATTTCAAATACCATAGGCCATAACTAGAATTATAAAGTAAAATGAAATGAGAATTAGTTATCATGAACATGTTTTAGGACATCAAATTATTTATGTCCTAAATTAGAAATCATGTGTTCGCTGCTATTAAGGTCTGACTACAAAAATTGGACTAAATTAATAATAGATTTAAATTTAAAATCTTAAATCTAGTAATATTCTCCCGCCCTCCAAAATAATCAGATACAATAGTTTAATCACCCCTGTGGTGTCTATAATAGTTTAATCACCCCTGTGGTGTCTACAATAGTTTAATCACCCCTGTGCTGACTTTGTCACCTTACACCGTCCCATCACTCCTTCATTGTAAAACTTTTTATGATTTTTATATTAACCAGACAATTTGTATTCATTTTTTTTTCTCTCTAGCTCTTTCTTTCTATCTATCCCTCCATGTCCACAGCTCTGACAGCGGAAACTGAAGTTCTAGACAGCTGTAAGTTGAGGCTAAATTTAGTGCTGCAGAAATAGTGGTGTATTGTGTGTGGTTTGGGGGGAATTTATTTGAAATTTAGTTGTTAAAATTCCAGCTAGTCTGATTGAAGTTACCAAATAGTAATCTCAACGCTTAACAGTGATAATAAGTTACAATATTCTTTTCATCTTTGTTAACCTGAAACATGCCAGAGATTTTGAATCCATGATTTGTTGACATGTGCACGGTGCATAATTATTTGGTGTTTTTGTTCATTTGAGAGATTTATTCATTTTTTATGGAATAAAATAAAAACGAATAAATGAAATCAGTAAACATCTCATTAAATTCATTAATGCAGGGCTTCTCAAAACTAAATATAGTTATCTAGGACAGTCTTTTTCAAACTTTGCAGCCCTAAAAATAAATTGTTTGCTAAATTGTTTACTAAATTGTTTACTAATTTTTTTACTAAATTGTTTACCTCTTTCAAAATGTATTTTGAAACATAATTGACTTTAAAAGTTAGTCTGTTTTAATGATGATTCAGATCCTCTGACAAATTGACGTAGATGCTACGCCTTAATGACTTGTGTACGGTTTATAAACCAATATTACTTTTGTCAACTGGGCACTGGTCAATAGCAATATATAAAAATATGGTATTTAGAATTGCTACATGTAACCCAGCTAGTGGTTGTAACATCTGTATGGAGTAGACAAATGGGATAACTCTTGTGAATTTAAAGACTCTAACTAAGCTACTTAATTGGGATCCAACTTAATCGCGGGATCTCCTCAGTTTTAAAAATATTTAAACGGGTTGCAATAATAAACACCCCCCTCCCCCTCAATAAGGAATTAATGTTTGAAATTGTAATTATAAATCAGGCATGTGCTGAAAAAATATGTTGCACAGGGAATAAAAAGTAATGGATGAAATTTCTAGACAATTTATTTATTGTATTATAATGTAATATTGACAAGCAGATTTGGTCTCAGACTTCACCTGCATCCCATCCCCAATAGATCACTATCATGACAATACAAGAAAGATTGCATATGTTTTGTCCACACCCTACTTTGTCAGGTTCAGGATCCTACACAGTCAGGCCACATTATGCTCACTTCTACTTGGCCAAGACAATAAAAAAAACCCTTGAGTTTAACATGACTACCCAAACACTATCCCACCGTAGCCAACACTACCCACACCTTACCCCACACTACCCCTACCTTATCCCATCCTTTCCCTATCTTGTCATATCCTAACTGGACCTTGTCATATCCTACCCGGACTTTGTCATATCCTTCCTTTTCCTACCATATCCCTACCTTTGTCAAATCCAACCCCTACCTTATCCTTAACTTATCTTTCCCCACCCCTAACTTATCCTTCCCTACCCCAAGCTTATCCTTCTCTACCTTCTCCTACTCTACCCTACCCTAACCTTACCATATCCAACCACATACCCTATCCCTATCATGTCATATCCAACCCCTACCTTATCCTACCCTATTCTACCTTATCCTACCCTACTTTACCTTATCCTACCCCTACTCTGTGAAAGATATGTCAGGTCAGCTTGTGCCCTTAGTTTCTGACCTTTGAACTCCTATCTCTTCGACCAACAGGCCTTGAATGGCATCAAGCCAACAATCTCCTCGACGGAGCCATTGAGATGCTATCAAAAGAAGCTCCATCCTATTACTTGATGTGGGCTCTGGACAAGAAGGGCACCATTTTACACAGACAAGGGAAATACAAAGAATCAATCCAGTAAGTTGGTTAAAACAAAGCACGTCTTAATGCTGATGATGACCCATGATGTTCTACTTGTGTTTTGCAGGGGACACAACTCTTACACTGCCAGCTACAGGAGAAGGCAATCAATATCTGCCGTTGGTTCCTGGTAATAACGGGGATATAAAATACTTGATACTAAAGCTGTGCCAAAGATCGCTGTGGAAAGATTCAATCAGTTGCCAAAGATCGCTGTGGAAAGATTCAATCAGTTGCCAAAGATCACTGTGGAAAGATTCAATCAGTTGCCAAAGATCACTGTGGAAAGATTCAATCACTGTGGAAAGATTCAATCAGTTGCCAAAGATCACTGTGGAAAGATTCAATCAGTTGCCAAAGATCACTGTGGAAAGATTCAATCAGTTGCCAAAGATCACTGTGGAAAGATTCAATCAGTTGCCAAAGATCACTGTGGAAAGATTCAATCAGTTGCCAAAGATCACTGTGGAAAGATTCAATCAGTTGCCAAAGATCACTGTGGAAAGATTCAATCAGTTGCCAAAGATCACTGTGGAAAGATTCAATCAGTTGCCAAAGATCACTGTGGAAAGATTCAATCAGTTGCCAAAGATCACTGTGGAAAGATTCAATCAGTTGCCAAAGAAATTGTAACCAAAAAAACCCCAACAAAAGAAGCTGCTGCTTTGTGCTGGTAACAAGGTTAGAGTCAAAATATAAGGTCAAGTCACAACCAAAATGGATGCCTATGGCTCCAAGAATTCAGAGGTGCTTAACTTCTTCCAGCATGCAATACTATCTCAAACGAACATACAGCGGGAATAAAGCTCCAATGCCATCTCAAATGAACATACAGCGGGAATAAAGCTCCAATGCCATCTCAAATGAACATACAGCGGGAATAAAGCTGCAATGCCATCTCAAATGAACATACAGCGGGAATAAAGCTGCAATGCCATCTCAAATGAACATACAGCGGAAATAAAGCTGCAATGCCATCTCAAATAACATACAGCGGGAATAAAGCTCCAAAAGCTTTTAAAAAATCATTGTTTTGTTTACATGCTATTCCCTTTTAATAATACGTTGCAACTTTTTAATAAATCTGTTAATTTAAAAAATTAAATAAAAAGACATGTACATTTTGATCTTGACAATGAAACTCTAAAACTTTGGCATTGTGTGAACTTGTTTCATTTCCTTTTCCATCAGATGTTTCAAGCAAGCCAAACAAGTGTTCAGACAAGTCAACAGTCAGGCACTAGGGGAACAGTTCTTTGTGTCAGATCTGCAGCTTTGGGAGGAGAGGATCACCCAGGAAATTCAGGAAACTATTCCGATAATATTTACTGGTAAGCTAATCCATATCACATGGACATGTCAGCTTATCCGTTATCGTGTTAACCAATCAGCTCATCCCTATCCTATTGACAGGTCAGCTTATACCTATCCTATTGACAGGTCAGCTTATCCCTATCCTACTGACAGGTCAGCTTATCCCTATCCTATTGACAGGTCAGCTTATCCTTATCCTATTGACAGGTCAGCTAATCCCTATCCTATTGAAAGGTTAGCTTATCCCTCTCGTTATTACTGTCAACACTTCTCTAACCAATGACGATTCAGTTTAACAATTGCAGTTCTTATATTTTGGTTTATAGTTATAAGATATTAGTCTAATAAATACATTAAGGTTTATCTAAAGATGTAGTTTATATAGAAATATTAGGTTTCCATATAGATATAAAGTTTATGTATAGATACGTTTACAGAAGTGAAACATAATATTGTTGAGTATTGAGTATAGTATTAGTATCCATTTATTTTGTTGATATCTAGGTAATAACAGACTGGCTCGTCAGAGGCTGGATAAACTATTGGAGATCATCAACTATAGGTGTGAGAACCATCCAGAGCTTTCCACTTTACTTAACCTTATAGGTTTGACAGAAGAGAGAGGTATGTATCGAATCGAAAACTTACATTCCAACACTTTCCACCGTTCACTGGCGGAGATTAAATTAACCGGTTTCTGTTCCAACAACTTTAAATTTTTAATACATTTTTGTCACATTAAACTATTTTTAATGGAAATATTTTTGCTACATGGTGATGGAAAGATAATAAATAAAATTGTGTTGAAGGCAACAACAATCTGGAAGATGCTTTCAAGTGGTACAAACTCAGCTACAACGAGAGAATGTATCTGGCCAAGATGTGCCCTGAAAACCTTCTGGTCTCTCTAAACAACATGGCCATGATCCTTTTACGCGAAGGAAAGCTGGGTAAGGGCATCATATTCTCTCTTATGTTTGATGTGAGTAACCTTCCTTGAGTTAGGGAGCAGGGTATCAAGCCCAGCAACACCCCATCCCGTGTAGGACTACAAGCTTAGAGTGAGAGAAATGTATTACAGGCCAAATGTAATGCAACGCAGGCTAAGTGTAATGTATCACAGGCTTCCCAGGGAAGATGTAATATAACACAAGCCAAGTGTAAACTAACTTGCTAAATTAGAATGGCTTCTGAGTCAGAGTTGTTAAAAATAAATATTTAAAAAAAATAACATTTCAATGTTGGAAAAAAGTCAAATAGATTTTGTGAATCTATCTATTATCCTTTAGGTTTTTTGATGTAATATGCCATGTTTAATGTCAATTCAAGGTGTTTGATGTAATATGCCATGTTTAGTGTCAATTCAAGGCATTTGATGTAATATGCCAGGTTTAGTGTCAATTCAAGGTGTTTGATGTAATATGCCAGGTTTAGTGTCAAATTAATCCAATCATAGAATCCATTTTTTTTCCTCATGTGCAGTTAGGAGATTTATTCAATATTCTCCATGTATCTGATCTTGTTGTCAATATTCTCTATGTATCTGATCTTGTTGTCAATATTCTCTATGTATTTGATCTTGTTGTCAATATTCTCTATGTATCTGATCTTGTTGTCAATATTCTCTATGTATCTGATCTTGTTGTCAATATTCTCTATGTATCTGATCTTGTTGTCAATATTCTCTATGTATCTGATCTTGTTGTCAATATTCTCTATGTATCTGATCTTGTTGTCAATATTCTCTATGTATCTGATCTTGTTGTCAATATTCTCTATGTATCTGATCTTGTTGTCAATATTCTCTATGTATCTGATCTTGTTGTCAATATTCTCTATGTATCTGATCTTGTTGTCAATATTCTCTATGTATCTGATCTTGTTGTCAATATTCTCTATGTATCTGATCTTGTTGTCAATATTCTCTATGTATCTGATCTTGTTGTCAATATTCTCTATGTATCTGATCTTGTTGTCAATATTCTCTATGTATCTGATCTTGTTGTCAATATTCTCTATGTATCTGATCTTGTTGTCAATATTCTCTATGTATCTGATCTTGTTGTCAATATTCTCTATGTATCTGATCTTGTTGTCAATATTCTCTATGTATCTGATCTTGTTGTCAATATTCTCTATGTATCTGATCTTGTTGTCAATATTCTCTATGTATCTGATCTTGTTGTCAATATTCTCTATGTATCTGATCTTGTTGTCAATATTCTCTATGTATCTGATCTTGTTGTCAATATTCTCTATGTATTTGATCTTGTTGTCAATATTCTCTATGTATCTGATCTTGTTGTCAATATTCTCTATGTATCTGATCTTGTTGTCAATATTCTCTATGTATCTGATCTTGTTGTCAATATTCTCTATGTATTTGATCTTGTTGTCAATATTCTCTATGTATCTGATCTTGTTGTCAATATTCTCTATGTATTTGATCTTGTTGTCAATATTCTCCATGTATCTGATCTTGTTGTCAATATTCTCCATGTATCTGATCTTGTTGTCAATATTCTCTATGTATCTGATCTTGTTGTCAATATTCTCTATGTATTTGATCTTGTTGTCAATATTCTCTATGTATCTGATCTTGTTGTCAATATTCTCTATGTATCTGATCTTGTTGTCAATATTCTCTATGTATTTGATCTTGTTGTCAATATTGAACAGATGAGTGTCTGAGATATCTCTATCAAGCCCTGGAAATAAGACGTGAATGTGGCTGGAGTCACTATTCAACAGCCTTGACCCTGACTCATTTAAGTGAGGTCAACATAAAGTGGTAAATTTGAGCGATACTTAATTCTACTTGTATTGTGTGAGGGTTTATTGCAATTTAATTCTACCTGTGTTCTGTGAGGGTTTAAGTATTGGCAAGAGTAACAATATTAAACTAAAGTCTTAAGTCTTTAGTAAAGATGTCAATCAACTTTTTTACATTTTTCTTGAAACACTTTTGCGTCTGAATGAATTAAATTTTTTTCTTCTTTTCAATAAATTTTTATTTGCCCAAGGAAACAAGGAAATAACTTACATGAGTTTATAGCTGAAAGCTTACTTAAGGGAACAGCAATTAAACAACTTTCCCATAGGTATAAATATTTAATTTTATCAAGAACATCAACTCTTCCAGTGATTCTCAGAAAGGTTAATCTTAATTATCTCCCATGTTTTCAGTGACAACTTTCCTGAAGCCTTCAAAAATGCATTGGAAGCAGAAAGAATTCTTCGATTGACAGTCAAGGATCACGACATGCGGCTCCGCTTGAATTTCACTCTCGCTCATATCCGAGTCGTCCTTCGACAAAAAATGGATCCTGAGAGCTCCAGGGTGCACCATATTGCAAAGAATGCTGGGGACCCCACAAATGTGCCCAATTTGCATCAACTGTTCGATGATATTCCTTTTGACGCATCAGAAGGCAGAAGAACATCAGCAGACCCCAGTCCCCCTTGGACAGCCGCACCCGAATCAGATTCAAGGGATAGAGACACAGCAGTCAAAGTCTGCCCAGATTATCCATGTACTTCTAGTCATCCAGTTGTGACAACAATCCACATTGACCCTGTCGATCTCAGTATGTCGGCAGATAATTACTTAGACCGTGTGATCCAGATTACTCATGAGATGACCGGAACGCTCAGTGACGACGGACACAACAATTACCTGGCCACTCACATGCACGCCATGGTGCTTAACTGGAATGACCCTATGAAATTTCTCTATCACATCAATGCCATCAAAGACTACACAAATCAAAATCCGTGGATTGAGGAGACTGTGTTTGGGGATGCATCCGTTCCATTGGACTCCAGGTATAATCGCCTCAGAAAACAGAAGCCGTTGTTCTATTATATAGTCAACACACGTGTTGAACACATGGACTTGGATAGGTTTACACAACTTTTGGTCAACTCCTGTCAAATTTGTGCTTTTGCAGAAAGGATTTACACGTGTGAGATGTGGAGCACAGAGGCACGTCATTTAATGTGGGTGAGGCAAGAGAAAGATTCATTCAGGAGAGAGTTTGATGCCATGGCATTAGATGACCTTGAAACGCTTGATGTTGAGTCGCACGAAAACTGCCTAACCCACGGCAGTTACAGCAAAGCTGCAGCATGTGATGGTGGGGGTACAGGCACACCTTACGGTACACATGCTGCATGTGATGGTGATATTTCCTCTGCTTATCTACCTTCCCCGGACTGTTGCCACATAACTGGCAACAATATATTTCCCCAGAGCAATTCAATGGATAACAACAACCTGTCCCAGGTTGAGTCCCCCAAGATACTGCAGGACCAAAAGGACATAATGGAAAAGATCAAGTGCCAACATCAGCTGCCATCTTGGCCCAACCGACTGGATGATATGACAAACCCCAAAGGCTACAACTTTGCTTGCAGAGAGCACCAGAAGAAGGGTTCTGGGGGTTCAAAGGTTATTCCCGAAGTGAGTGGTCGAGTGCCGGTTGAGCAGAGTGAAAAATCAGTGAGTGCTTTAGCCCATGACGACGACGCAGAGTCCCAAATAACGGCAGGCCCCGGAAGGAAGCATGAAACATGCGTCGCAGGTTTGGGTGGTGGGGCAGGTGTGGGTGGTGGCGCAGACAAGTTAAGACATTTCTTGCAACCAGAGGCTAATACAAACCCACCAGCATCGACTAATAAAAGGGATTCAAATGAGGTCAAATTACCAGAGCCTGTGGAGAGTTCAGGGGACAATAAGCCGCCCAAGTCAAATTCTGACCCACAAGAATTGGAAAAATTCTCAGTTTCTCGTTACCTGCATCAGGCATGGCCTGAAATAACGTCAGCACAATCCCCGGCAAGCACTGACATAAAGCAATCAACCTCTTCATTATCTCATCAGAGAAAAGACAATAATCCCCAGAATGACTTACAGGCTGCACCAGACCCTCTGTCTAAGGTTTCGTGTCTAGAAAGACAACTGGACCAACCTAGTATTAAAAATGCTTCCCCGTGTTTAAGTTCATGTGTACCAAAGAGATCTGTTCAAAAAGGTGTTTCATCGAGGGATGGTGAGAAAACAAATTCACGTGGCGATAATGGCCGGCTGTCATTTGCTGAGAGTGGCTTTGCAGGATCCTCGCTGTCAAGTGAAGACGATCACACAAACCATGAGTTGCCACAGGGTGGGTGCAGTGCGCACAACATCATTAGTCGACAAAGCAATGTCAATCCTGAAAGCGGTTTTCTTTCTCGAGGGAAAAAACCAAAGACACCTAAAACTAAAATGTTGGCTCAATGGTCTCACAGTCGCAGCCACAACGAGATTTTTGTGGATGGTCAAATGCCTGGCTATTCAGGAGACCCAGGTTTTAGACCAGATCTAGAAGAAGGGAGAGTACCCACAGAAAACTGTGAAAACTTTCTCAGCTTTTCAAATTCTCGAAAGCCAGAGGAAGGGTTGTGGTGTGATTACTCTGAACAAAATGGCTGCATCTCTGAGGAAGGCTTCCTAACTGTCAACTCACCAGAACAAAAAGATGTGACAAAATTATAGAATAGTTTGACAATCATAACATAGGAGCGTCTGATAAACATATCATTATAATACAAGTGGTTGATAATCTTAACAGGATAGTCTAATAATCATAAAATAGTAGTATTTGATAATCATAACATAAGAGAGTTTGATGATCCCAAATGGTGGATTGCTCTGCAACCTGCCATTAGACAATGACAGATGGGAACATTTTCTTGTTTCTATGTTTTTACAAGTTAACATTTGATCCCAGCTTAAATGAAAAATCTAGAAATTATGGACTTTATGTTAACAAAATCTCTAGAAATCAAGGACTTGTTGACAAAATCTCTAGAAATCAAGGACTTTATGTTAACAAAAATCTCTAGCAATCAAGGACTTTATGTTAACAAAAATCTCTAGCAATCAAGGACTTAATGTTAACAAAAATCTCTAGCAATCAAGGACTTTATGTTAACAAAAATCTCTAGCAATCAAGGACTTAATGTTAACAAAAATCTCTAGCAATCAAGGACTTTATGTTAACAAAAATCTCTAGCAATCAAGGACTTAATGTTAACAAAAATCTCTAGCAATCAAGGACTTTATGTTAACAAAAATCTCTAGCAATCAAGGACTTTATGTTGACAAAAATCTCAAAACTTACTTCAGGATTTTACTTTTGGATGTGATCCAGAATTATTTTTTTTTTTTGCAAGCACAAAACTGACACACCACCGGTAATGAGACATACTGACACACTGCCAGTAGTCAGACAGACTGACACAATGCCAGTACTGAGACAGACTGACACACCATGGTATTGAGACAGATTGACTCACTACCAGATGGACAGCAAATGATGATTATGTACATAATAATTGTGATTATCGAAATGAAACATTTCATTTAATCAATGAATAGGTTTATTTTAGTCCCTTGAGTTTTGCCCAGCCCATCTTATAAATTTAATAGTACCGGTATTAATAATACACTTTGTTCGCTTAACTATAAAGAACAATGCTGAACCATACTGAGTACGAGATTAGTGTATGACTCCATGTTGTTGCCATGTCTTTCTAGCAAATTATAATTTATAACATTACGTGTTCCTCTAAAGCAGGGGTGGCCACCTCGCAGCCAGCTGATTTATCACAAATAAACTTATGAGCTCTACATTCAATGTACCGTTACAAAGAAATCCATTTTAAAAGTTAAGTGAGCCAAAAGATGACAAAATCACCTTGGTTAAGTATTCTTCATTTCATTATGTGAATTAATGAAAAAATCATTAATTCTGTACAGCATGTAGGGGATGTTAAAATATTTATGTGCAATGACAAGCTGGCCGTGAAAGGTTTACTTGCTATCAAAGTTGCGCATGAAACCTTTTGGATAGGCCACCCCTGCTTTAAAGAATGTTTGTATCATACCAGTACTCATGTTAAGATGAAACCTAGCAAAACTATGTGCACAGTGGCTGTACTAACCCAAACATCGAAATGGCTCCATCTAAATCTACATTGTAATTGTAGTTGGTCAAAGCATGCATCAGGAGAGTATTTTATGTTTCATTTTACTGAGAATGATTCAACTAAGAAAAATACTACTGTACAAAATAAAATAGTTCATTGATTTATATTTCCGTTAGTTCCTTCCAATATCGCACAATTTATTTTTTAATTCAATTTTTCATGAAAAGCAATGCAATTCCTTTTATTCTAATCTTGATGTGTTATAACTGTTAATACTAAACTCTGATCTGCATCATCCATCTGTCATTGATTGTTTCCATGTATAGATATTCATCAGCTTCATCAGTTGTTTCAAAATATAGATATTCACCAGTTTCTACAAACATGCATTAGAAATGCTTTAGCAAAATTCAAGAAATAATCACATTAATAATCAAGCTCATTCCAGGCTTCTTGAAATTGAAGAAAAATTAATAAGAAAATGCTGTTGGTGTTAGTCTGGCCTTATTGTTTCATCATTACTGAGTGTATCATATACAAACATTTTGACATATCAATAATGAGCATTACCAATACATTATAAAAAAACAACAACATGATAATACTAATAGGCATAATTAAATTAATGGTATGGTACAGTCACAAATTATGTACCCTGTATAGCTCCAGAAAATCAGCTTTATGTTTGCAGTATCAGTAGGCTATGTTTAAAATTGTTCGTTTTTTTTCTTTAAACTAATCCCAATTCCTGTGCACATTCAGAGAGCTGTAACTCAAGTTTTTTTTTTTTTTTTTTTTTTTTTGCTGTTGTATTTTTGTGTGTGCATAAATAGATATCTCATGTCATGTTGGCTCTTGTCTTCCAACTTTGGTGGTATTGTGGCCTTTTTTTTTTACTCAGTCTGTGCTTACTTTCTCATCAAAGAAATACCAGCCAGGTATTTGCCCATAAACTGGTCTTGAATTTATCTTCCTTTTCCTTTACAGTTTTTTTGAAAGGATGATGTGCTTTTGTCTAAAGTAACTGATGCCTCTTATCTTCCTAAAACTAAAATGCAGTTTTATTTTTTATTCATATTTAAATGCTTGATTTTCCATATTTTACTGGCATCCAAACATGTTGACTGGACAGTCATAGTTTAGTTTATAGGCCCAAACAAAACACACAAAGAGATGGACGTTTGTAGTGAGTGTTAAATGATATCATCAGTGAAAAATCAATTCTGATACATCTAGTAAATATACTATAATAAGATATAGGCCTACCTAAATTATAACCCTCAGAACAAACATTTAACTTTAAGTAGAGATACAGAATAGAAATAATACAGTAATTACAATAATTAGCTACCAGGTATGTGGACTTGTAAAATGAGTCATTCTGTGTTATAAGAAATGAAACTTTAAAAAAAAATAACTTTTTTAAAGTTGCTCTTGTGGCCATGTTTCCAAATTTTCTCAAAAGTTTGATGCCCAATGCTCGTGAGATGTTTCAGGTTGACCACTGAATGTATGACAGAGTACTGGTACTGGTATTTATTTGTATATTAAGTTTTTTTACATCATGAATATTTTATTTAATCTCATTTCAACTAAAGTACCAGTACCCTATCGTTCCCTGCGAATAAATTTGAGCATTGTATAAATGTAGGTTGATCTTGGGATAGCCTAATCAGTTTCTTATGATTTTTTTTTTTAAATTGCATTATTTGTTCATTTATAATAGTATGACTTATTATAATATTGTTATTAAAATGTGAACAAAAGATACTACTTCCTACTTCAATGTTATTCAATACATTTGTAGATGTAGAGAATCTTGGCCCCCACACAGTCACTTTGAAAACAAATGAGCATTAAAAAACCCTACGAAACTATAAAATATAAAAATTGAGCAAATAAAGCTTTCTACTTTCCTATCAGGTCAAGAAAGATGCTCTCATAAAAATGACAAGAAACTTTGTGGAATCAGGATTTATAGCTCAGTAGGAAAGCTGATGAAATTCAGGGCTACGCTGATAGACACGATACCAAACATTTCTACGATGGCATACAAGAAGTCTGTGGACCACACTCCTCAGGCTGCTTGCCCATCCTTAACAAAGATTGTACACAGCTACTGACGGACAAGATTCAGATATTAGAAATATGGGTAGAACACGTTTGTCAAGTCCGTTAACTGCTGGTAACAATAATGCCATTGCTCGTTTACCACAGGTGGAGATCAACCATGCCAAGACAAAAGTCCCATTGAAGATGAAGTCGGGAGGGCAATCCAGCAACTCTTCCCAAATAAAGCCGCAGGACAAGATGCAATCCCTGTTGAAATCTACAAAGCAGGAGACCCTGTCCGGACAAAAAGACTGCCAGAGAAGGGGCAGTCGCCAAACCTGTGACAACTATTGTGGCATTTCTCTCCTTTCCATAGCTTGGAACATCTTGGCTGGAGTCCTACTTAATCGTTACCAACTACATCTTGAACAGGGACTACTTCCTGAAAATGTGGATTACGTTTAGAACGGAGCACTGCTGACATATTTGCAGCACGCCAGCTCCAGGAAAAATGTCAAGAGCAACACAGCAGCCTGTTCATCAGCATTGTTGATGTGACCAAAACATTTGACTCAGTCAGTAGAGATAACGTGGAAGATAATGGAGAAGTTTGGCTGCCCGAGTAGATTTATTACAAATACTACATCAACTCCATGATGGCCAGGGTGATGGATTCTGACGAGTCTGTTGCTTTTACTGTAACTAATGGTGTAAAACAAGGCTGTGTTCTAGCCCCAACACTTTTAAGTATGGAATTCTCAGCAATGCTGATGCTTTTCTCGACAATAATATTGGCATTTGGATAAGAGACAGGACAGACGGAGGGCTATTTAATTTTAGGAGACGGCAAGCTTATTACGAAAGTTTAAGAAACGGTTATTCGAGACCTATGGTATGCTGATGACTGTGCCCTAAATGCACTCTCGGAACTGAAAATGTAGCAAATACTTGTTTGCTTCACCAAGAAGGCATGTGAAATCTCGGGCCTCGCCATCAATACGAAAAAAAAACAAGAGCTCTTGTTGCATTTGGAAAGATCCCCAAGAGTGTTTAGTAGCGAAGGGGTCTCAGTCTTTTAACTTAGCTGAAAGTATATAGGGCAATCATCTTAACACCTCTCCTATATGCTAGCAAGACGTGGACAGTGTACAACAGATATGCTAGACAGCTAAACATCTCCACCTACCCTGCTTACGTAAACTTCTTGGCATTATCGGCATAAGGTGGCAGGTCAGAGTACCTGATACTTACTGAGGTCCTAAAACGGACTGACTTTATCAGCATCCACACAAAAAGGACAAGCCACATTAGCAGGGCATGTAGCAAGAATGCCAGGCAGCAGACTGCCCAAACAACTATTTAAATGCATCACTCAAGCTCAAATCCATGGACATTGAACTTGATTTATGGAAGACTCTATGGCAAGCTGGCGTGGCAGACTCACTGTCTGAGCACAATCCTCATAGAATAAGCGCACTGCTCAAACCCTAAGAAAGTGCACTGCAAGAAAAAGAAGCATTGACTCAAATCCTACTAGGAACCAAATCAATGAGTCCCACATGCAGGAAAACTTTCCAGTCACCAATAGGACTGGCGGCCTCCTGTGTACTTAGTGTAATATAGCCTTGGTCATCTTTTCATGCTAAGGACGAACAACATGTACATCACCAGATGTTCTGCCTGTTTTAGTTTTAGATTCATTACTCAACATTATTATTTTTATCTTAAGTTTTAGTTGAAGCACAGCAAGAAAATGAAGCGGAGGAAGTTGATCTTACTTAGACTTATTGTTACAAATTTCCTTAAATTTAAACTGTTCATCAAAATTATCAATGGAGAGCTTTCCTCCTGCTTCAATATTTCAATCATGAACTCATGAGATGCTCAGGTAATGTTCACACCAGTAAATGATTTTAACAAGAATTTAAATACAAATGTCATGTAATGGTAATGAATGGATTAGTAATAACTTCATATCTATGGATTCGTGAGACAGACCTCGTTACATTGTAACTCCCAATATAGTAATAATACAATAGTCTCAGGATAGTACTTTACCACCTCAACAAAATCGTACAACACAGTATGTTAATAGTAAAATCAACAAACAGTATAATGTATACAATAACTATTCTCATGCATATTAAGGTCACTTCTCAAAGTAGATGACTGACATCCATATGTTTATATACAGGGAGCGTCCATTAATTACATCAACAATTTTTTAGCAATTTTTTACACCCCCCCCCCCTATCAACACTGTCAAACTTTCAGTGACGCCCCCTAAGTAATTATGTCAACATTTTTATACACCCCACCCCCAAAAAAAAGAATTATAAGATAAATACTTCTTACTTTATGCTGATCTATTTAAATGACATATAAAATTGTAGGAAAAACATTTTATTACACCTTTAGATTATTAATAAACAAGTTAAAAACTTTTTTTACACTTAAATTTTATAATCCAGACTCAATTAAAAGTTTGTTTAAGTTAAAGACTAATATCATTGTTTGTGGAAGTATGGATATGATTATTTTCAGTACAGCTGACAATTGTAGTATAGTTTCTAGCTGCTATCATTGAGTATCATCTTCCCATGGAGTAGCCAGGTGTTGCTCTATCGTAACAATGGGCATAGTAGCTGATTTATCATTTTCATTTTGTGGAACTGATATACCAGACAAGTCAACATCATCCTCATCTAACCATTCAGCACTTAAAATAGAAGCATTGTCATTTTGAGCAATAATTGCCATAAGCTCTCTCTGTCTCCTGGCAGCTACTCGCATCGGTCGAATCTTTTTTTGTTGAGGAGACGGTGGTCATTTCTTCAACTCAAGAGTGCATTGTCGGTGCTGTTGAAAATGCTTTTTCAACATGACTTGTGATGCAAAATAGATGTTACAGATTTTGCAAATCTGTTCAAGCAGTGATGACTGGACTGAGGGACAATGAAGATCAAATGGAAGAATTTTGAATGCCTTTGTGAATCGAGGTAACATATTATCAAATTTGACAGACTGATTGAAGAAAAAAAAAGATGGAAATCTGTGTAAGTCACTCTCAGAAGCATCTGATGCCTTAAGGCCTTCAATAGTTTGAAAGACTGGAATCGGCGGGGATAGGAATCTATTGGACACAATTTCAAAATAGGAGCTTTGAATCGGCTGACAACAGTTCTCATAACGACATTTCACAATTTGTAAAAAGTATTGGCTTGTTCTTACATGATTAGTAAACCAATCTTGATCTTTGGTTACTAAATCTTCCGCCACAAGTTCAGTTAATTCAGGTGCAACATATTCAGCCACTGTTGCAAAATTGTCAATTGTTACTTGCATCCACAATTCTGTCAATATTTTGCCAGCATATTGGAAATTTAATTTTTCCAATTCTTCATTAGTTGTTAGACCTTGTGAGTCAAGGTGGCTACCAAAATGCTTCTGTTGTAAAATTAGGCTTGACAGTTCCCTACTTGGTGGAGCCATCCTTCATTCTACTCGATTAAATGCACTCCTACCAGGTGCATTTGTTGCAACCAACATTGCATCAAGGTTTTGCTTTAGAAAATGATGAATTGCTACATCAATTACTTTTTGATAGCTCCGATTTTCATCCGATCCACCATCCACAGACATGATAAGAACAGGTTTGACTATTTTATTGTTTTCATCCTTTGTTATAATGTCGAATTCTTTGAACTGAAGCAGCTTTTCATAGTCTAGTC